ATAGTTTAGTATATTTTTATATTATCAAGTCATCTAAATTGTATATAATAATGGTATATTATATTTTTATATTATCAGATTATCTAAAAAATAACGTAAATACGATAATATTGTAGGTTAGTTTAATCCTTATGATTGACATGACATTTGCCAATTTGTGTTTTAAGGCCATGTTACTTTTTGTGGAGCCAGATATGAAAACTGATTTTTGTCTCCCATCATGTGGAGTTTCCTAATCAATATAATATGTAGTAGAGATACAAAAATGTGCTTCAATGAGAAAATAAATAAGTTAAAACATAGTAATTAAGAAATATATATACCTTCACATTGGCTGTGGTAAAAGCAGGAGTAATAATATGCCTATGTCTAACCCATTCATCTCCTTCTACCATAACAAGTCCTTTACCAAACATGGCCTTTCTATCCCTTTTAAACACTGTTGGTTTTCCCCAAGTTTTACCCATAACTCCAGCAGACATCTTCTTGATAAATTCTGGGTCAGCAATGTAGACAAATGGTTCTGTCCCTAGCCAGTATGTAAATACTTTTCCTACAAAAAATTAATAAATATTATGAACACTATTTCATTTACACTGCATGTAAGAATGTAGCTACATAAAATTTCATCTCAAAGAATCAACTGGGATGTATAGTATAATAAGTTACGTATTCAACTGAACTCAATAGATTTAGAAATGATATTGTATATGTTAAGGGTTAATCTGGTACACTAAGTTTTTGCTATGCGCAGATTCCGAGGAAGGGCCCAGACCAATAAAAGTCTATTGTATGTAGTCTTACTCAGCATTTTTATAAGAGACTGTTGTCATAGCTCGAACCATGATCTCTTGGTCACATGACAATAACTTTACCAGTAACATTAGAATTCCCCATCACTATATATATATATGTTGTTAAAGCTATCTATTAAACATGTATAAATATTAAATTTCGAACCGAAATAACTCAAATGATTAGTAGGTTCCATGTTTTATACATGTTTAATAGATAGCTTTAACAACATGTATATATAGTGATGGGGAGTTCTAACGTTACTGGTAAAGTTATTTATTAAACATGTATAAATATTAAATTTCGAACCGAAATAACTCAAACGACTAGTAGGTTCCATGTTTTGTACATGAGGGTAGTTCTTAATTACATGTTGAAGAAAACATGCATTATACTATATATTATACTCCATGTCAAGAAGCTTAAAAAAGTGTACGTACCATGCAATTTTTGCCATGTAGCAAAGTAAGGAAATGCCAATGAATGAATATCATGGCTAATCTCATTAATAGAAGAAGATGAAGAAGTAAAACAAGTTCTCTTCATCATTAGCTCTTTCTTCATGTCATTAATATTCCCAAGTGGAAAATTAGGTTTTGGTCCCTCAAAACCATTTGCCTTAAGTTTCCTAAACATGAGTTTAGGCATAATCCACCAAGAATATAAAACTTTACATAACACAAACAAAATTGTCACCATGCCTAACATACTTGCAAATTGAATGAATGTCATGCTTTTTTATTTCTCTCTCAATATAAAATAACACTAGCTAGATGAATAATGAATTTTTCAAGTTTGATTAGTAAATGGAAAAACAAAACGATTGATGAGTGGTGAGAGAACGTTGCATGTATGGGTATTTATAGAAGGACAAATTTGACGAACCCTCAAGGAATTAAAGTCAAAAGTTGACAATTGACCAATACATATGAGATAAAAATACCAATAAATTAAATAACAACTTTTGATCGTAGCCCCACTGTCTCGTATCTCATTTTATATGTTACTTTTTCTTTTTCGTTCCGTCTTAAAATAAATATTTTCTTATTCTAGTTAGAAATAATTTAAAAATTCTCAATTTGCTCTTACTGAAATGATCTCAGACACACAAATATCTAAAAACTGGTTTAAGTTGTAAGTTTCAAAAATCTTTTTTTCCTTTCTTATACACCATATACCAAATCAAAGGGTGACACACATCCCATTTTATACGACTTTTTTTTTATTCCGTCTCAAAATAAATATTTCCTTATTATAATTAAAAATAATTTAATTTTAATTTTTTCTAAATCCTTTTAGTGAAATAATTTTCATACACATAAATATCTAAAAGTTGTTTAAACTATCAATTTTTTTTAAAAAAAATCCTTAATTCTTATATACCATAGGGAGTCAAAAGGGTACCACGGAAAGAGTACTTAATTTGAACATGCACTTTTCTTTCTGGTTTTACGTATTTTTTATATATAAATATTTTGTTACTATTATTTAATAGGGAGTACTAATTTATTTATTTTATTTTAATGTATTGCATGCATGTTTGTATATTTATTCCATATTAGTCTCTACTGAATATAATTATTTGATTTGTCAAAGTAGAAGTTGGTCGTCAGATAAATTCAATATTGCGGCTGTACACATATCCTTATGGTGCACAATTGCCGGCCAACATTTAATTCCACAGCCCTTTTCTTTATGGTCATATCTTCTTTCACCTACAAATTTGCAATTTTTATATCATAAAAAACATATGAAAAAAATCTCAATTATATCGTTTCAAAATTTGAATTGTGTCACGTAAATTAAGACGTATATAAAAAATTTTAAATTAAAAATGTTTTACGCAATAATATGTAACTCGATATTTTAAATAAATCATGATTTGATTTACTGAATATTTTATAATCGTAATACTCAGATCAGATCGACTAAAACATATCTCGATTAATTTTATGAAATACATGTTATAATAATAGGGTATAAATAAATTAAATTCTACCACAAAAACTAGGATAAAGAAAAAAAAATGTAACATATTGAAATGCATTGTGTAAAATTATTTACACATATATATATATCATGTATTTTTAATGGCTAGTATCATGAAACAACTATTACACAAGGTCCTCGTAAAAATGCAAAAACACAAAATTTTATATAACCTGAATTTTATAGTATTCTACTACAAAGTAATAATTAAGTTTAACTAAAAATTATGCCCCCTCCGTTTCTAATTATTAATTTACTTTTTTTTTATATAGTTATCCCTAATTACTTGTTCATTTTAACATATTAAGAAAGGACAAAAAAAATTTTAACATTTTATATCCTTAATTAATGATTAATTACTTTTTAAAATGTAAAATTTTTCATAAACTTCATAATTAATAGGAATAAAATAGTAAACTCACTATATCATTAATTATTTTTGTAATAAGTGTGTACTTGTAATTATAAATAACTTTTCTGGCTGATTAAATAACCAATTTCCAATTACTCGTAGTTCGTTCATATTCCAAATTTCAACCATCGACTAAAGTAAAAAAGAAAATTCAATTTCAACAAAATAATATATTAGTACAAATTTTTTGTTTTTATTTTTATTTTTGTTGGTAGAATTATATAAAAATCCTTGCCAATTACTGCTACAAAAAGGTCGGTAAGATATCTAAACATTTTAGTTGTCAACTTTTACACAAAAAAATAAAAATAAAAACAAAAACTGAGCTTTGATTAGTTTAATATTTTTTTTTAATGAAAAAATATAAACTTTTCACGTACTGTACCGATGGATTTGTTTGACTGATTGTAATTAATTCTTCTTTTCTTAATTTTTTTTTTCTGTTTTCATTTCAAAATATTCTTTTCCACACTTTCATGTTCACGACATATATACACCTTAATCCGTGTTTCTAAACATTTTTTTTTTGTTCATATATGATACGATATATTCCTTTAATTACTTTCTTGGTCAAGATTTAAGAATTATAAAATATGATATGTTTAAATTAATTTCTTGGTCAAGATTTAAGAATCACGTATAACACAAACACGTATAAGAATAGAATTTTCTCAAAGACCAAAGAGACAAAACACATATAGCTAGCGTTAGGACCGAAAATAAGCAGGTGTAACACAGAAGCTAGCAATGCAAATTTCGAAAGATCATGAGTAAGAAGACAACGAGAAATATACCAAAAGACACAAAGATAACGTGGTTCGGTCAATCGACCTACGTCCACAAAGGAGATGAGCAATCCACTATAAATATGAGAGTACAAAATACAGAGGGAAACAACTTCAACCAATTCACTCGGAATACATGGGAGGTTCACACAAGTGATAGCGTTCAAGCTTGTGACCCATAAATTCTCCTCCTAACCAAAACTCTCAAAGCCCTTAAGACTACATTGTGAATGTTAGTTAAGTTAGAAGGAATCTGTCTCTATTAATAGAGTCCTAAACTTTTTCTTACTAGAAAAAAAGGATTAGTCAATCCAAAACATTTTCCTTAAAAAAAAACCTATTTATGGTAAGAAATCAGGGCAAATAAAATCAACAGCTAGTTGCGCTGCTACACATATAAAAATGTATATACAATGATTTTGTATCAAAAAGCCCATCTATATATATTACTATTTATAATATTATTAATTTGATGGATGACTATTTATTTTAAATCGTTGAATAATTAATCAAATTATGGGTGGTTGTTCTTCTTCTTTCAATTTTGCCTTTCCTCTCTGTATATTTCTAACAAAATGATGCACGTCATGATATCACATGTCATGAAAACAAAAATTTTCACGATTAGTTTCTAATTGGAGAAGGTGCATTATTTGTTTGATTTATAATTTCATCATATAATGTACTTTTCGGTAAAGAAAGTTTCTATAACAATAATTAACCACAAACACTTTGGCTAAATGGGGATGAGCAATGACGAAATAAAAGGTCAAAAAATTTTATTGTTTTTTTATAATAAAAATAGCTTAATTTTATCTAATGTGAAATCAATAAAAATTCAAAATGTCGATAGTACTTAAGACGACCTACAAAATCTGATGACCAGATCGATATTGTAGATCGTTGGTATATCTTTGAAAGCTCATATGGAGAGAAGAAATGAATTCTTCGAGGGTTACTTTAAGTTACTTTAGTATCAATATATAATTAGTGGCGTAAGCAGAATTTTTTCAAAGCGATGTCATCATTTAAGGAATAAAAATAGATCAAGAAGAAAATTAATGAAGTTTTTGCTTTAGATTTACAAAAATTTGAAGCCCATTAAAAGTGAACTTTGTGAAAAAATATTTTTCTTAAAAATATAAAATTTTGATTTATATTTTGATTAAATTTTTTAAAAAAAATTATATATTCTTTAAATTAGATAATGTTATAGAATTTTAAATTAAATCACTCATATCTTCATATTATTAAATAAAATTTTATCTAACATTATTTAAAAGATGTATTGTAAATAAAAGATTAACGTCTTTAAAAGAAAATGAAAAAAAAGAAAAAGTTACAAAGCTCTTATATTTAGTTTTAGACCACGAATTTTGTTGGATAGCCTTTCTTAATAATTCAAAAAACTGAAAAATTCACTTTAATAATATAGCTCTATGTGCATATGATGTAATCTGCACAATTAGTTATTGAGGATCAAATAATAGATGATTGCAATGAGAAAAATATAAAATAATTATTATGAACAAGTAAAAATAAAATTTTAAGCATATAATAAAATAAATAAAATAGCGAATAGAATACTAACATGATATGGACATTCGAGATACCGAATAACTATAATGGATGAACATGAAAGGAAAGAGAAAACTTAGAAATAAATATGTCAACATTATTTTTATTTAACTATAATTCTAATTTATAAAGGAAAAATTCATTTTATTTTAATTCTAAAAATAATTAAAAAAGTAATTAGATTTTGAATGATTAGAGTAGATCGGCTTAATGAAAGGACCTTCCTATTGATTTAAATTTAAAATTTGTCATCTGCACTAGAAGTAATCTCACGTAAAGGGTGTCAATTTCAATTATTTTTAACCTTCAATACTATTTTTTTAATTTTTTATATAAGTATAATTTGTAAAAGATTTGAATAAAGTTGTATCACGTGACACGCCTTACATATACATAAATCCGCCCCTGCCTATACCCATTATTATAACAATTATTGAGGGGAAAAAAACAAACTTACTCTTATATTTCAATATATATACTTTTTCTATTCATGATCATTGCTAGCTGTCATCTACGATTATCAGTATGCATATAACCATTATTATAGTCGATCTTTATAAGTATTGTTCTTTTTTTTTTTTTTTGTATATGTATATGTTTCATGACCTTGTTATCATTTACGATGATAATAATCGGGAAAATGCATAACTATCTTTTCAATCTAAGTCCGAAATCCCAGAGATACACTTGTACTATACTAAGGTCCTATTATCTCCTTGAACTTATTTTAGAAGTAATTTTCTACCTCTTTTCAGCCTACGTAGCACTATCTTTAAAAAAAAAAGTCAATCAACAATGGCCCCACAAAATAGTGCCACGGAGACCGAAAAGCGGTAAAAATTATTAATAAAATAAGTTCAAAAGGTAATAGAACCTTAATATAGTATAAGTGTGTTTTCGGACATAAATTGAGAAGGTACTTGTACATTATCCAATAATAATCAGTACACCTATAACCATTATCATAACAATTATGTTTGGGGGGTTGGGGGGGGGGGACGAGCAATCTTGTGCTGTATTTGAATACATTTTTTCACTCATGATTGTTGGAAGCCATCATTTACGATTATTAGTATATACCTATGACCATTATCATAGTAATTATTGAGGGGAGAAAATCATGCTATATTTCAGCGCACCTTTTCAACGTAAGCTAAATATAGTTGGTCTGTATATGAAGTGTATGTTATTTTTCTTTC